CAATTTCAGGCACCGGCAAGACCACAACGATTGTGGAAGCCATCCTTCAATTGTACCTTCAGAAGAGAAGTCGTATCCTTGTAACAATAGCCTCGAATTCGGCATGCGACACGATTGCCTTGAAGTTAATCGAGTATATTGAAAAAGATAAACGATTCCAGGAACTTGCCCACCATAAGTATGTGCTGCTGCGCTTGGTTTCATACACAAGATTTAGGAAGAGCGCTAAATCCATGAATCGGTTGGTGTTGAGGTACTCCAACTACGAGCTGTTTAAGGTAAACAAAAAAAAGACCAGCAAATTCATAAAGCAAATCGAATTAGAAGATTGTGGAATCATTGTGGCCACGCTGTGCACAGCCAGCATGCGAGCTGGCCAGAGTCCCCATACATTTACACACATTTTCATTGACGAGGCCGGTTCAGCATCAGAGCCGGAGACAGCTATGGCCATTGCGGGCATTAAAAGCCGCGAATGCCACATTATACTCTCCGGGGATCACAAGCAGTTGGGTCCGCATGTAAAGAGCGATCGCGCTCTGGCTCTAGGATTGGATCATTCGCTTTTTGAGCGTCTAATGAAACACAACATTTATAAAGTGGATGACAGTGGTGCATATGACTGCACATTGCAGTCACGATTGCGACGCAACTTCCGAGCCCATCCCGAGATTGTTGGTATCTACAACAAGCTATATTACAAAAATGAGCTATTGGCAATGGCCCCACTATCACAGGTTAACCAAGCCGCCAAGTGGAACTTGCTGCCAAATGGAAAGTTTCCCATTTTATTCCAAGCTACACAGGGCGCCATGCAGAGCGAAACTAATTCTACCAGTAGCTTCAATAAACTGGAGGCAATGGTGGTCTGCTGGTATGTGATGAGCTTGCTCAAGGAGGGACTTGGTGACGTAAGGATCGATCAAGGGGACATTGGCGTCGTGACTCCATATTTGGCCCAACGCAATCTTGTGAAGCGTATGCTTTGTTTAAGAGGGCATCCGAATGTTGAAGTTGGCACTGTGGAGAGCTATCAGGGACGTGAAAAACCGATTGTTATTGCATCGCTGGTGAGCTCCTTTAAGAGCACACGCTTCCTGTCTGATCCACGTCGGATCAACGTGCTCCTCTCCCGTGCTAAGGTGTTGCTGATACTGATCGGTAATCCGATCAGTCTGGAAAAAAATGACGACTTCAAGTTCATCATCGGTCAGTGCAAAGCAAACCACAACTTTTTGGAAAATGTGGAGAAATTTAAGGATGACAGCCTTGAGGGGCTTATAAGCAAGATGAATCTGAAGGATGATGAAAGTGAAGACAGTTGCAACTCATCTGAAGAAGATGATTAGCGTGTTGTTTGTGTCATGTAGACTTTTTGATATATGTACATACAATGAATTATTTTCCCTTTCATAAACAAATTCAAACAAATAAATGTCTAAATGAAAATTAATTTTCTTTATATATCACAACCCATCTAATGCAGTATAAGTAGAATATTTGGCAAGTTTGGCAAGCTTTTTGGCAAAACTATTATTTAACTATCGGACATTCATCCATTACAACAGAAAGGTTAAACGTGTCTTCCAGAACGTCTTGCAAATCATGCACTGTAAAAAAAAGGGGTAGAATCGCACCTCCGGAGTTAGCTACAGCTGGTTGCTTTTAAGCAAAAATCTAGGTAATTGGCGAATAACACGCCAGCTCCTTCAGCAAAGTTTCAACCAATTAGTTTACTTGGGAGTCGTTGTAACCGTTGATTTTATATTAACAACCTCGCCGCCTCGGTTGTCTGCCAGTTCCCCCATTCAACGTTGCATGCAACGTGTGACTGATGGTCGCCTTCACCAGCAGTAGCAGCCCCTCCTACTGCGCATCGGCTGTAGGTGTTAACAGATGCACCCATCGGGTTGTTGCTGGTGTTTGCTGCTGACGGAACATGCATTAGCCCAATGAGACGAATCTTACTAAGCGACTTGGTGTCCATTACTCTTGTTTGATTTACAGTTGGAAGCTCCTCATATTTCCCATAGCCTGGCTCCAGGCTTTCTTTTAAAGTTCGCCTTAGCCGGAAACATGAATTTTCTGACAATTGTTAAGCTCAAACATAATTCTAAATTGTAGGCTTAGAGCTGAAGGCCTGGACGCTAGCGTGTTTTTGGTGGTAATTAACCATACTATTATTTAAATAATAAATGTATTATAGTTAATCTTAATAATAATAATAATAATATAACCATTGGATTGTAGATATATTATTAAATGAAAATTACTTCTGTCATGTTTTGTGTATTTGCTTATTTGCGTTTTGACTTCTATCTCTTACTTATGACTCCGTCATAAATTTTATAAAGTATACAATTTTATCCATACAAATATTTTGTATGCCCAAGAACAAAATGAACCTGCCCGCTACCTCCGATGCCGCCCTGCCAAATGGTTGATATATGTTTTATGGATATTATGCTTTGCCTATCTGAATGTTTGCCAGTTCCAGCGAGCCCAGCTCCAGGTTTCGGCCGGGGTCTGGAACTGGGGTTTGGGCCTATTTCCGTGTTGCCTGCGGTTTGGAGGGCGCGTTAGAAAATTTACATATGCACATAAATCTTGTTTAGGCTTTGATTTTGTTTGTCTCAGCAGAGCGGCAGGCAGCGCGAGAAATACTTCTAAATATTTGTAGATACTTATTTGGTGGCACAGAAAAAACAAACAAGAACAACAACTTGCAGCGACAGCAACAACTCAATAAACATTGCTGTGACGTCTCGGCTTCCACAGCTCCGTCGAGGAAGTGTCAAAAGTTTGTTTGTTGCTTTGTCTGTCTGTGTGTGTGTGTGTGTAGTGGCACGTCGGCTGGCGACAATATACTGACAGATACTTTGGCTTGGCCACGTTGCCCAGCGGCAATAACTTTACGTGTATGTTACGGCCAAAATTGGCAGCAGAGTGAACTAATTGGCACTTAGACAGCGCAGCGTTTGGGGCACACATGCAAAAAGTATCTAATGGAAAACCAAACAAGAGCCCATGAAAATGAAGTGCACAGCTGTGCTTTTACATTTGAAGACTACTTATTATAGTCCGTATCCGATAGGAGAAAATGAGAATTAGATCGCCGGAAATACTGGCATGGCTCAATTGTTCAGAGCATATGCGCCAAATCATTTGCGTTATAATTTCAGTTTTTATGAAATTTGATTATTTGTATCTATAATTTGCTTAGATACGGGCAACAGATACAAAAGTATCTCATAGATACTTTGGCTTATTCTAAGAGTGCTAGGCGAGCACTACTCTTATTCACAGAGAGAGGTACATAAAAAAAGAAATACTTTATATATTAAAAAGTTTCTGTAAGATACAATATATATTTATACAACCTTTAACATTCGTTTTTTAACTAGTTCTTTATGCTCATGCAAATATATAATTCTATTTACTCAATAATATCTTGTAGAGACTTTGCTGTGCGAAGAACTCAATAGGTTGGAAATCTGATATTAGAGTTCTATATTTAATTAACTATTCGAAGCCTGCTAAATGCAACTGGATCTTTTCGCAATGTGCACATATTTACTGTAGATATTACACCTAGCATGGGGCTAGATTATTAAATACGTGCCTTAAGCCAAATGCCACGCCCAGTAGCGCGCCCTAAAATATTATTTCAACCTGGAGCCGTGCATGGCACATTCTTCTTTTTATGCGATTGCCACAAAATTTTTTCTCATGCTGCAATTGTTGCCAAGTACCGTTCGCTTTTCGTTCACATTTAGTACCCCACCAAGCCGTTTGGCCGTCTGGGCCATGCGAAAAAAAGTTTCCTCTTTGTATACCCTGTACCTATGGAATATGTGTAAAAATGGGTATAACGATATTGCGCAAAAATATGTGTAGCAGGTAGTAGCTCACTTCATTTCCACGAAATCGGTAAGCATCGATCTTAAGTTGATAATATTTGAACATGACACGAAACTAAATACTGCTCTAGATATAAAATTTAACATATACATACTCGAGATACTTTACGAAGGCCTGCATAATTTTCCCACATTCAAAACATTTTTGGAAATACAGCCTGGGGCTTTGATATATCCAAACTTTTGGAACTCCCATTCAAGCCTACAAAATTTAAAGAACACATTTCGCCTAGTCGCTCGTTACAGGCCAGCGCTTGGTCGGCCATTCCCGTCTGGAGCACCTTCTGCTTGTAGACATATGCAGAGCTGCGAAGTATTTACATAAATCCAGAGTGGAGGGTACGACGAGTCCGACCCTAGCAACTGACTGACAGTTCAATTTATGCTTCCTCTGCGCCTCAAATGGGCTACCAGGCAGCGATAAAAGCAAAGATTGCCGCATCGTGTTTTGCCCGTGCCTGTTGAGGCTGACTATAAAATGCACTTAATGCAGCGGACAAGAAACAAAAAAGCGAATTTCACGCTAAACAGCAAACTAAGAAATGCATTAAAGCCGAATGTATCTTGCGGATATATATTAACCATATTTATGGAATGCGATTAAGTTGCGAGGTTCCGTTCATAACAAAGGCCTGAAAGAGGCGTTAATAATTGATTTTCTAATGAAAACATGAGCAATATGTATTTATTTGCATGCTAAACATAATTCAAGCAATGTTATTGTGTGTTATCTAAGCCTATTTCTATCTCTGTTACTTTTTAAATTTTTTTGTGAGTTTTAAGAGAATACACAAATAAAGATTTAGATCTTAACTGTCCACTGTAAAATATTTCGATGACGAGTGCAAAACTGCATGAAGCAAAAACTACAAAAATACACTGATATTATTATTTACATATCAAAGATATTAGGTGTAATTCAATATACATACAAGAAAAAATGTTTACTTCATTCTTATCAGTATCAATAATTAATATTAAATATGCCATAAGCTTAGGATCAGCCCACGCTCTTGAATGCATTAACTGTATAAATGAAATTTATTGATGTGCCACTTATTGATTACATTCCTTTTGCAGATCTGGACTCAGCCAGCGTGCAGCTGCTGGGCAGCAATCGTAACGAGCTGCTGCTCAAGTGCCATGTGGAGGGCGCCTCTGGCGATGAGCCGCTGCATATTGAATGGTATCGGGACAGCGCGAAGCTGAGCACCTGGCAGAACGTGGAGCTGCAGCAGCATCGACTGCTCGTCCGTCAGCCGAGCGACGCCGATGATGGACTCTATCGCTGCATTGCCTCCAATGCAGCGGCACGCGTGATGAGCAAACAGGGCTATGTCTATCGGCATCAGTCGAGTGCGCTTGGTGTGGCCAAGTGCTTGCCCAGGCTAAAGAAGAACCAGAAGTTGCCCGAGTCGTGGGGCAAGCAAATCTTCTTGTGTCGCGGCAAGCGTGGCGGCTCTGGCGGCATGGATCAGGCAATGTCACTGCCCCCGTCGCCCGAAGGTCTACGCATTGTTCAGGGACCCAATGCGAAACTGATTATCAAGGAGGGCGACTCGGCAGCCCTGAGCTGCCTCTATGAACTGCCCGCCGAGCTGCAGAATCAACGCGTCCAGTTGCGCTGGCGCAAGGATGGCAAAATCTTGCGACACGTGGAGCTAGGCGAGACTCTAATACCTGGCCTGGCGCTCGACTATGGGAAAGATACATTGCTGCGCGAGGATGGACGACTGGTACTGCACAAGCAGAACGGCACGATGAGCTTCAACAGCATAATTGCCAGCGATGCGGGCCAGTACATGTGCCAAATACAGCTGGAGGGGCATGCGGCAGTCAACTCCTCGCCTGGCACACTGGAGGTCATTGAACAGCTCAAGTTTATGCCGCAGCCAACCTCTAAGAATCTTGAGCTGGGCTCACTTGGCAAGCTGCACTGCAAGGCGCAGGGCACTCCCACGCCGCAGGTGCAATGGTTGAGGGTGAGTAGTCGATGGTTCGACATGCAAATGGTCGGCAAATAAGTGGAAAGGTTAATGTATTCAACGTACGAAGTAAAACAAATACCTTTCCACCTTTTGCTGCTATAACTTTTTGAGAATTATAAGTGTCCGGAGTCCATCATGCAAATAAGTAGCTGGCAATAGCTCTCGGGTGATCAATTTTGTAAAAGTTGTTTACTATATCTAGCAATTGTTATGCGGCTTTGCCCGGCTATTACATTTCATCTGGTTGCCGTCAAGCTCACTTTCAAAGATAATAGACAAAGCTAAGAACAATAAATAAATTTGAATATAATCTCTAGTTTATCGAATTTTGCATAATAACTGATGATTTGTATAAAATGTTCCCCAATATTCATAAATATAAAAGTATTTTTTGCGTTTATTTGCGCTCGAGTGCAACAATACTTCTTCGCATGGCTTGTCACAAGTCACTTCCACTCCACTGAAATATTTCAGTTTCAATCTTTTCACTCGGCCCTCGGCTGGGATCACCTGACAAATTGAAAAACGCAACGCGACTCTGTGTAAACGTTTCTATCAACAAACATTTCATATGCAAAACTTCTATTGAGTCTAGCTGGCTAACCAGCTCGCAAGCCCTCTTCCCACTTCGCTCTTCGCGAATTGTTTGCAGCTGTTGTGCGAGGAGCAACCAATTTTGACAACTGTTTGTCCATTTGCCGGAAAAATTGTCCAGCGAAAAACAAAAAGTACCAAAGCTTTTTCATTTGCATCTCGTCTAAAACAAACGCACCCCTCGGTCAACAGACACACCTGCTCATGTCAAGGTTTTTGCATTTTAGATGAAAACGCGTCGAACTGGGTTTGGAAATTGGTTTGTAATAGTCCATGTACCTTTACTTTATCTGCACAGGATGCGACGAATGGCTCTCTGCCCGAACACGTGGATGACATCAATGGCACTTTAATATTCAGGAATGTTAGCGCCGAGCATCGCGGCAACTATACGTGCTTGGCCAGCAATAGTCAGGGCCAGATAAATGCCACTGTCTCTATAAATGTGGTGGTCGCGCCCAGGTTTAGTGTGGCGCCCGTGGGACCTATCGAAACGGCCGAGCAAGGCGTGGCTGTCATTCACTGCCAGGCCATTGGAGATCCCAAGCCGACCATACAATGGGACAAGGATTTACAGTATCTGAGCGAAAACAACACGGATCGCCAGCGTTTCAGTTTCCTGGAGAACGGCACACTTGCCATACGCAATGTGCAGGCGGAGGATGAGGGCAAATATGGCTGCACCATTGGCAACAGTGCAGGCCTCAAGCGGGAGGAGGTGCGTTTGCTGGTGCGCTCCAGTGGCGATGGCTTCATTACGGAAGAGTCTGCCGGCGATGGTTTCCTTGTGACGCGCGCTGTACTCATCACAATGACCGTTGCCCTGGCCTACATAGTGCTCGTGGTGGGTCTGATGCTGTGGTGCCGCTATCGGCGGCAGGCACGCAAGGCGCGCCTAAATGAGCTCAGCATCAAGGAAGCTGGCGGCGATCAGGCGGAGGCGGGCAAAAGCAATGAGCAGGAGCCCTGCCTGTCTAAGCAGCAACGCAACGGCCACAGCAAGTCCCGTGCAGCCAATGGGGATGCACAGAAATCCGATGATACCGCTTGCAGTCAGCAGTCCAAGGCTTCCAAGAAATCCGCCCACATTTATGAGCAACTGGCACTGCCACGCTCCGGTCTCACTGAACTAATTCAAATTGGACGCGGCGAATTTGGTGATGTGTTTGTGGGCAAACTGAAGGCGTCTCTGGTGGCAGCCGCTTCGCCAAGCGACAAGGATGCGGACACGGAGAAACAGCATAGCAACAGCGAGAATGGCAGCGGCAGCGGGAGTGGCAGCACCACCTTGAGTACTCTGAATGAGAAGCGACGCTCCAAGACCTCCATGGATGACATTGAGGAAATCAAGGAGGAGGAACAACAGGAACAGGAGCCAGCTGAGTCTGCCGCCGATCAACTGGTGCTGGTCAAGGCACTCAATAAGGTCAAGGATGAACAGGCCTGCCAGGAATTCCGTCGACAGCTGGACTTGCTGCGTGCCATCTCGCACAAGGGTGTCGTTCGACTGTTTGGCCTGTGCCGCGAAAAGGATCCACATTACATGGTGCTGGAGTACACAGACTGGGGTGACCTCAAACAGTTTTTATTGGCCACCGCCGGAAAAGTTAACACTGCCACAGCCACATCCTCACCACCGCCACTAACCACCAGCCAGATGCTAGCTGTAGCTTACCAAATAGCCCGCGGCATGGATGCAATCTATCGCGCTCGCTTCACCCACAGGTAAGATCTACCAGAAGAAAATATCGTAGTTAAATTAGTTACGTTAGGATCTCTAGGCAAGAGTTTAAACAATTTACCTTCTCTAAAAACAGGCTTACTGTATATATTTTGTAATAAAAATTTAACTGCCAGATAAACTAGCTGCTAAATATTTTTTGAAAGTATTCAGTTGCAGTGCTGCCACCCTGCTAAAGAAAACAGCTTGTGTAGGCCGTTAAATAGGTGTACTAACGTTGCCAGATTGTCGACAAATTGCAGTCCATTTTTCAACTGGAATTTAACTTCTTGTCGACTGATGGGAACTTAAGGTCCAATAAATCAATCGTTAAAATAGTCATAATCGATTAATTAATCGCTTTTATTTTAAACTCGTGAACTCTCCAACAGAGATTTGGCCACTCGCAACTGCGTCATCTCCAGTGAATTTATTGTTAAAGTCGCCTACCCGGCCCTGTGCAAGGACAAGTACAGTCGCGAATATCACAAGCATCGCAACACGCTGCTACCGGTGCGCTGGCTGGCACCGGAGTGCATACAGGAGGATGAGTATACTACCAAAAGCGACATTTTTGCCTTTGGTGTGGTTGTGTGGGAGCTTTTCAATCAGGCCACAAAGCTGCCGCACGAGGATCTAACCAACGAGCAGGTGGTACAACGTGCACTGGCCAATACACTGGAATGGTCCGTGGCCGAGGGTACGCCAGACTGCCTCAAGGAGATATTGGTACGTATAAAGCAAGCGGGCGCATTTCTCCACTATTGACAGCTAATTAATTTGTTGTCCTATCTATTAATTGCTTCTTCTGCATGCCCCACAGCTCTCCTGCTGGTTGGCCAATCCCAAAGAACGTCCATCTTTCAGTCAGTTGGGCGCTGCGCTTAGCAAGGCCATGCAAAGTGCTGAGAAGTAGGCGCGCCGGCGTTGCCAGACCGATGACTGACTTAGTGTTGGTAAACGTTGAAGCCAGAAACAGTTTGCTAACTACGCCAAATATAATTTGTAGTATTCTCTTAGTACATACATGCATACATACATAAAAACCGGCTTAAGTTAAGTTTGATACATTTTCGAGGTTAAGTGATGCATTGAACTGAGTTATTTTCAAATGCTAGGCGCATGTTCAACATGCGTAGTCATAATCACAACTTAAGGTTAATGTATTTTAATTGTATAAAACATAAACATTGATATCTTCTCTAAAGTATTTACATACGTGGTGCTGCATAGAATATGCAGCTAAAATGTAAATAAAAACTGCCACAAACATTTGCATTTAAACCAGTTGAAGCATTTATAGCCGTAGTCTTGGCAATTTGAAGTATTCCAAGAAATATTTTAAAACTAACCCAATGAATATAGGATTATGCTAGTCTTAAGTTGATTTTATTACTTAACAATTGTAAGCAATACGCAAAATATATATAAAATATTTGTGAAAATTACAGAAAATACACAACAAATTAATCACAGCGTGTATTTTCAATTTGAAATTAACAATTAAGCCAAACTTCAATTTAGCGTGAAAACTTTTAAACATATATTATATAAATCATTTTTCTATACAAACATACATATTACATCAAATACATTAAACTAGGCATAAGCATGTAAGCCGTAAAAAATTTATAACTAGCATTTTAAGCTTTGATGCATGTTTACAAAACATTTAAATGAAATAATAAACACAAATAAATAAAAAGCAAAGCCCAAACTCGAAATCATTTTAAGTGCTTAGCCCAAAAAGCGACAAGGCTCAGAAAAAAAAAAAATGGATAAGACCAAAGCCCAAATGCAAATAGCACAAGAATTTCCCAGCCAATGGTAGTCGACTTGGAGATACTCTGCAAACATTTTACAATGTCTTTTCTGAAAGAAAGAAATTGTCAATATCTCGGAAAGTGTGCGCCAACTCTTATAAACAGCAAAAAGCGCTTGAAAAATCTCTAAAAAGTTGCGGTTTAGCGCATTTTGAAAAAGGCTTGATCTATGAATCAGATGATTCTTTAATGTTCAACATGTCACACAATGTGAATTTGGTAAGCACAAAACTTTAATTTTACTCATTTTTTGTTGCCCTTTTTTTTTTGTAGCCAATTTTGACTTTTTTATTTATTCTGAATTAATGTTACATAATCCTAATGTTGCTACTTTTATTCCTTAAATATTTAATTTGTTAGATTATTATTAATCGTGCATAGTAAACTTGACAGCCTGGATCCCGCATTTGATGCTCATAAAATTCCTGATGATCTAGATGTTTTTTTTAGATATATGTATGTAAATTGAAGCATCTGCTGATGCCGATAGCTGCCGATCAACCATATAAGCATATCTTTCGTATAGGGTCGAAAAGTCTTTTTTTAACTGTAACAAATCTTTGCATAACCTTCTTATGCGCATTAAAGAGTATGCAAAAAAAAACCTGCTCCCACCCCCAGAGCTACAACTGGGGCGTCGTGTCCTGAATTGGGGCTGCCGGCCCCTTGTTATGCTGTGTAACTACTTTTTATAGACATTTCATTTGGCGTGGCAAATTTGTTGACGGTCCTTCGAGCAGTGCCGCGATTTGGCAGCCCGTTCGTTCACACTTCACTTGATTTGAAAAATAAGCGTCTATTGAATGTCGGATTGAGAATTCGGTTTCGATTTCGGTTACAGCCCGCCTGGCAAAACAACATGGCAATAAACCGTAAAGTTGCCTAAGCTTATTGGGGCTTAAAGTTGGCCGGAAGTTGCCTAGGCTCAGGCGCCTACGTTGCGCAAAAGTTTGCCGTGCGAAAATCTTAAGCAGCCAGCCAAGCGATATTTGCATTTGAATCAACAAAAACAACAAGCACAGCTACACCATATACAATGAGCTGGCCTTTTTTCTGCTGCTTTTTTTCTGCTTGCCAATTGCGGGCAGCTGTGGAATGCTAGGGTCCAAGGAATAGGCTGTTTAGCATTTCCTGGCACGTACAAATTTTCTGCCATGAATTTCAAATGCCTGAGCACAAAAGCTGATTGAACAGTTCCCAGGAAATGTGCCAAAAAAAAAGGAAGCACACCCCTTTGGATAAGCCGAATCGATAATACTCTTATCATTAAATACAAGAAAATCAATATACGAAAATTATAAAATCTGTTTTAATTTGTTTATGCATCGAAAAAAAAGAGACATTAGTTAAATTTTTAGTTCAAAATGGTAATCAAAATTTGCATTTCCTATGATCAATTTTTTTTTTAATTATTTAAATTACAGACGTTCTGGTATGAAAAGAGGCGATAATTATAGTTGCATCAAAAGGATAAGGCAAATCTTCGATATAATCCGATATCAACGAATTTGGCTTAATCAAAGTAATTAAGAAGTTAAAAGAGTACATTAAGCTAAAAATTAGCTCTATATATTGCTTAAAATTTTTTAATTTCTTAAACTCACAGAAATTAATTTTGTTTATATTTCTGGGCTTAAATACTAGACTAGAAGTTAGTATCAGCTGGTTCTAACACGCTTTGGAACTTGAATAAACTTAGGTATTTGCAAATTTTCAACTAACTCTGCAGAGACCTCTGTCTATGTTTGACCGAAAGTTCAACAAGTCCACAGCCACAGCTTTTATATCAGGGTATCTGAAAATCTTAGACTTGCACTTGGCTTAACAAGGACTTTAATTTGATTGTCAGGCATATTCAGGCGCCGACAGTTATGAGGAATTAGTAAAATAAAAATAGCAATAAATAACTATATAGCCAAAACAAAGATGGCTAACCAACTGCATAGAGGAAAACCAAACACATTTAGCTCGTGTTGTCCCAGCCTGCATCCCGCCTGATTGCGGCCATGAATAAATCAATGCAAAATGCAGCTGAAATTTAACGTCAACGTCAACGACAACGTATGTGCAATGGTTCTGGGCTGTGTTTTGCATGGCTGATGTTCAAAAATGAGATTGTTGAAAAATACATGAAGCCATGGCGCATATGGCGTATGCGCAATATTTTTGTTGTTGCCTCCCATGTATTTGGCCATGTTTGCGGCAGCTGCAACAACAAAAGCCTAAGCTTAACATTATTTTTTGTACATTTACATATCAAACACATATATACACACACTAGCATACAGAATGCCATTCAATTTATTAATATTATGTATGAGCGTGAGTGGAAATGGCTTTGCCAATTGAAGCGTAAAATGTGCATTACTCATACGCCGCGTGTGCCGCACACAATGTATGTGTCCCCCAGCTGACCTATGGCACTTTATTATGCCTTTTACCTGCTCAGACATAAATTACACATTACGCATACGCCGAGTAAATTTATGCAAGCTAAAAGTAAATGTTTGGCAAATAAATTACGCGCAAAATTAAGGCATTTTGTATGCGAGCTCTAAGTGACTCGGCAATTGACTGCAAACTCAACTCGTTGCCAAAACAAACAAAAAAAAACAAAGCCCCAGATTGATGGGCCGCAGGCAAACTTCAACTAGCAGCTTCCACCAAGGAGCAGGCAGGCTGGCATAGGGGCAGAGGGGCACAGGAGCAGAGCCTCATTATGTAGTCGCCGAAAACATATTTTCGCATTCATCAGAAGGCAAAAGTTTTGCAGCCGCCTGCCAACTTCCTGGCACATAATTGAAGCACATCGCAGACTCATTTGTTACCGACTCCTCCCGCCGCATAATCATATTCCTGTCAGTTGGCAGCGGGCTAGGGCTGCACATTTGATTGCTTGGCCCACTTTTTATAGCATTTTCATTTGGAGCGCAATTAGTGTGGCAGAGTTTTGACAAAGTTTTCGAATTGTGTTTTGAGGCCAAGCAAAATGAGCAGCTGCATTTATGAACGGGGTAAGTTCAACTGGAGCCGCGTACAGAGGTAAAAAGTTGACGGTGCATGAGCAACATGTTCAACGGCAGCAACTCATAACGAGATGGGAAACCAGCCAACCAATTTGGAGTCAAACTCAACGTTGTCTTCCCTCATCAAAACTTGACAAAATCCCACACGTAACTGGTGACTAATTTAATTATTTCATTCAGCTGTAAAAAATATTCTACTGCAGACTTTCAGTAAATCAGTGTGCAACAAGCCAGCCACGCCCATCGCCCCACCAACCCCCACAGCTTCGGCTGCGCCACGCGCCGCGGCTGCAAAGCTTTTCTCGAGCGTATAAATTTAATTAAATTAGTTTCAACTTGCGTAAGTCAAACCTGTGCCATAAAAAAAAATGTCGAGAACATTTCATATTTCTTGCCTCGCCCTTACGAGAACTGTGCGAGGCAAGGGGGCGTGGCCCAAAAATAACCACCCCAATGGCAATCAGCGTCACTTTTTGGGCCAGCTTGGCGATTCGTTGACGTTGATGCCACTTTATGATTATTATTAGAAGATTATGTTTGCTTAATTTCCAGCAGTGCCTCACACTTTTCGGCTGATTTCAGTCGAGCGAAGTGACAATGGAAGAAATTGTCGAATATACAAGAAGAAACCTGATCTTAAATTAAATTAATAAATTTCAAATGCTTGGAACAATTTTAATGTATACAAAGTAAAAATACATATACAGTATTCCGAGCCGGAAGCCCTAGCAGCAAGGTATTAAAGCTACACGCTTTAGACAAACCAATTTGAATCCTAAATTCCCATTTTCATTTTTCTATGAAACAAAGCTTGAACCTTAAATCCAGCCAAAAATATAAAAATTACAACCAGAATTGAATCCTGAACCAAAAACAAAACTTATAGGAACGTTTACGTTCTGACACGTAAGATTCAAAAAATAATTAATAATATAATTCTTATAAACCTAATTGTCGTATTTCAGACTGGAAAAAAAAGTGTATAGCCAAGGTTCTAACTAAACTAAACTAACTAACATACCCCTACTTGTGGCAGAGGTTTGAGCTTTGTACTAAATAACTGACAATTTAATTAGTTTTAATTGTGTTATTAATGATATTATTATAATTTATATAAGTAAAGCAAACTTGAGCTTAGTTATAGATAGGCTTTAGTCTTGGACTTCCTGTCCAAACAATGACAGCTCATATGCTATTTTCCAAAGATATTATTTTGATATTTAAATCCTTAACATCTCTATAGATTAGCTTCACAGTCACATTAGCCCATTGTCAGCTGTCTCAAAGCACTGATGTCCTTTTGCACAGCCTGAGATATTATGACAATTCACTCGTGGAAGTGCTGCTAAGGCGAAAAGGTCATTGAAATACACAAAATAAGAGCTGCAAACTAATTAGCGTCAAATGAGGGTTAACTGCCAGAAGCGCCTGACAGTTTCAGTCGGCGTGGCTAATGTCTGGAACAGTGGAAGTTATGAAATGTCTAAAATGAGTTTGGGGCGGGGCAAGGGCGGTAGGAAAGACAGGTGAGCGCTGAAGTGCTTGAAGCCATCGATGTCTTAAAGCTGAGCTGAGATTTAACCGCCGGTTATATAGACAAACAGCCAAGACTTGAGCCCAGACAAAGGCGACATTGAAACAAAACGCTTGGCAACAAGCCACCCCGAGTGTTGGCAAAGGGATATAAAATAAAAACAAGGTGGCAACGGGATGGGCAGGACATGCATTAACCAAACAGCTGAGCCTTTGTGTTGACTCATTAACGCACGGGCAATAGGGAGAGAGAGCGAGAGAGAGAG